CCCATCTCCTGCTCCCTCTCCCATTCCAATCACATCAAGATTCATCTTCAATTATCTTTATATACAGAAGATCCATTTAGTATATATTAAGTAAAGATTTCATCAGTTTGCACCCACACAGAACATAAAGTGTAAAACACTGTTTCAGAACTAGTCATAGCATTAATTCACACTGGACAACACATTAAGGACAGAGATCCTACATGAGGAGTAAGTACACAGTGACTCCTGTCAAGTGATCAATTTCAGTTCACAATTGATCACACTGATAGGTCTAAGACTCAAAGGGATCACACAAACAAGACTAGTGTCTGCTAATACTAACTGATAGAATAAAAAAGGGAGAGAATGATCCAACATGGGAAGTGGGATGCACAGCAGACTCATAGAATGACAGATGTGATGAACCAACAGATGCGCTGTGTTCTTTCTCAATCTTTCTCTCTGCCTCTCAAATTTCTTAAAGATGTAAATTACAAACACAGGAAATACTGAACAGTTAACATAAAGGGCCATGAGACAGCACTGGCACTCTACAGAGTCATGAAAAAAATTATGAGTGTGAAGACAGAAGCAGATGTAATGAAGATGTCCCCCATAAGAAAGAGAGGGAGCCATACATCTCCAGCACTGCTTAGGTTCTCCCCAGTGTTGAGTGCACATGGGGTAAGTTGGGGGCAACACTGTGGCTTAGTAGGTTAAGCCTCTGCCTGTGGCACCAGCATCCCATATGGGCACTAATTTGAGTCCCAGGTGCACCACTTCTGATCCAGCTCCACGCTGGTGGTGTGGGAAAGCAGTGAAAGATGACCCAAGTGCTTGGGCCCTGCACCCACGTGGGAGATCCAGAAGAAGCTTCAGATTGGCCCAGCTCTGGCCAACGTGGCCATTTGGGGAGTTAACCAGAGGATGGAAGACTTCTTTCTTTCTCTTTCTCTCTCCCCTCCACCTTCTATAACTCTGCTTCTCAAATAAATAAAAATTAAAAAGAGAATGGGTCATTCATTTTTAGAAATTTATTAATAGCCTGAAAATGTCTAATATTTGTGATAGATTATTATAGATAAATATTCACTTCCTCCTTGCCTCTTTTGCTATGTCCAAGGAAAGTGTATACGTCCCTGCCCTTTAACTTTGGACTTGGCCAAGAATCTTACCTTGACCAAAACGATGTTAGTAAGCATAATGCAAGAGGGACTTAACATGTGTTGCCATGGGGGGCAGATAGTTGGTGCTGTGGTGAAGACACCACTTCAGATGTCTGCAGCTGGTATCAGAGTATCCCAGCTCTGCTTCCAATTCAGCTTCCTAATCTGAGAAGGCAGCAGATAATGGTTTAAGTACTTGGGACTTGTCACCCAAGTAGGAGACACAAACTGAGTTCCTGGTTACTGCCTCCAGCTTGCTCTAACCCTGGCTCTTACAGGCATGTGGAGGGTGAACCAGTCAAGGGAAGACTGGTTGAGCTTGCCCTCTTACATTTCTGCCATCACCATGAGAACATGTCAATCAGTCCAATGATTAGAGGCATGTGGACCAAGCATGCAGCACAGAGCCACTCAGTTGTTCACAGCCTCTGTCAGTACACAACCAGGTGATCCACAGATGCATAAATATATCAAGGCTCACGGTTGTTATGTCATTACAATGGGGTGGTTGTTCGTTACTCAGCAATAGCTAACTGATATAATACCCTAAGGACTAGGTCCCATGGGCCACTTAAAAATTATCCCTACTCTCAAGTTGTCCACAAGCAATAGTATTTACTAAAAAGCAATTATCTAGGATCTGTGCTAGTGCAGAGGATGGAGGTTAATGATACATCTTCTTTTCCAAGTGAGAACTCCTATCCTACTGAAAAAAAACACTCTAATCAAATGATATAAAACAACATGATAAGGGATTTGCCAGCTGAGGATTTGGGGGTGGCTTTGCAGAAGAGTAGAATGAAATGGGGGTCTGAAGGATGAACAGTCATTCACCAGGTAGAGAAGAAGGCCAGCAGGCACCGGAGGCCAAAATATGAAATGTCAGAATGTGTGGAGTTCAACTGGTACCATAGTTGAAACTCGCCACTTTCTGACTTTGGCAGCAACCCAGAGTGAATACAAGTGCTGATGAGCTCGAGTTTTTACTGTACTAAGAAACAGTGAAGTCGTGTCACTGAGTAGCAAAAGAAGCAGTGTGTATCTCAACACTGACATACAGGCATAGGCTGAATATCCCTTCCCTTTTCTGAAATGCTTGGGACCCGAAGTGTCTCAGCTTTCAGATTGTGGAATATTTGCTTATACCTAATAAGCTATTTTTTTTTTATAGGCAGAGTGGACAGTGAGAGAGAGACAGAGAGAAAGGTCTTCCTTTGCCGTTGGTTCACCCTCCAGTGGCCGCCACGGCCGGCGCGCTGCTGCCGGCGCACCGCGCTGATCTGAAGCCAGGAGCCAGGTGCTTCTCCTGGTCTCCCATGGGGTGCAGGGCCCAAGTACTTGGGCCATCCTCCACTGCACTCCCTGGCCACAGCAGAGAGCTGGCCTGGAAGAGGGGCAACCGGGACAGAATCCGGCGCCCCGACCGGGACTAGAATCCGGTGTGCCAGCACCACAAGGTGGAGGATTAGCCTAGTGAGCCGCGGCGCCGGCCGTAATAAGCTATCTTGAGGATGACACCCAAGTCTAAACAAGAAATTCATTTCTGTTTTATAAATAACTTATACACATAGCCTGAAGATCACTTTTTACAATACTTTTACTGCACATGCATTTTCACTGTGACCATCACATGTCAGGTGTGGAACGTCCCACTCTGGCCTCATGTCACACTAAGAAGTGTCAGATTTGGGAGCAATTCAGATTTCCCATTTCTGGATTAAGGAGGCTCCGTGTGTGTATGACTCACTTTTTTTAGAAAAAGATTTATTTATTTGAAAGGTAGAACTACAAAGAGGCAGAAGGAGGGGGGGGAGGGAGAGAGAGAGAGAGCGAGGGAGCTTCCATCCACTGGTTCACTCCCCGAATGGCTGAAACTGAGGGAGCTGGGCGGAGCTGGGCGGATCTGAAGCCAGGAGCCAGGAGCTTCCTCCGGGTCTCCCACGGGTGCAGGAGCCCAAGCACTTGGGCCATCTTCTGCTGCTTTCCCAGGCCATAGCAGAGAGCTGGATTGGAAGTGGAGCAGCTGGGACTTGAACAGGCACTGACTTATGGCACCCGTATGGGATGCTGGCACTGCAGAAGGCGGCTTTAACCGCTAGGCCACAGCGCTGGCCCCGTGCGTGACTAATTTAAGACCCTTCCTTATTCACCAGTCGCTAATTCTATCTTAGAAGATGTTTACTTCACTACAGACAGTTCCAATAACAATGATCTATGAGAGTATTTTATTACCATTTATAACATGAATAGCAAAACCAGATCATTAATACTCGAGAAGACTGTCAATGCACAGTGAAGAAATGATCTTACTGAAGTCTAATGAGTTATGTCCCTATCAACACACAAAGGCCAAAGTATGCAAAAACGCGACAACATCCCCAAATACAAAAAAAAATAAAAAAATAAAAAAGCCACCCCCAAAATACAAAAAGTGCGATCTCCAGCAAGGCGGGCCGTAGCTAGGAGATGCTTCTCCAAGTAGTTAACAAATGGAAAGTGTAGTCTTGAGAAGTTTTCGGCACAAAACCTCAGGCAGAGGCATGACACTGGTGTGTAGAACCAATCAACAGTCTCCGCTTCCAGCGCTTTGGAAGGAGCGTTTGCACAAATGCGAATTTCCGTCACATCTGCATAGGGGCGAAGTGACCAGAACTACAGCAGCAACTCTGGAGTACGGGACGATCTCGTCACTAACAAGTAAGACAGCACACCCTGACGAGTATCTTGCTGATCGCTGCTAACGCCAGCAGAAACGTCCCCATCCGAGGGAGAGGGGGAGGAGGAAGCCGGCAGCTCGGCCCACTCACTTCACCCACGGAAGACACCCAGGCAACGCGCGTAAGCAGACCGCGCCGATGGCCAAGAGCCGCGGGGCGAGCGGGACCGCCACCAGGGACCAGGCTGGGAGTTCAGAAACCAGAATCTCAGGGAAGGAGACGGGACAGAAGCAGGATCGAAGCGCTGCCCGCGAAGGGGACTGGCGAGCAAGGCGGAAAGTTCCCCCGGCGCCGGCCAAAGTCCCGGCAGGGGTCTTCTACTTCGATCCGAGTTTCCCCGGGGTTCAGCCATGGCTGCTCCCCGAGCCGCCCAACCCCACTGAATTCCTCCTTTTTGGTAAAACCACCAGGTGAAGCAAAAGGGCACTCTCGCGACAAGCGGAGCTGCGCAGGAGAGCGCGCAGGGGTCGGTTGCTAGCTGGCCCCGCACCTGTGAGGGGAGTGGCCAGACGCACAGGTGAGGCGAGCGGGCTCTCCCTTACCTGCCGCAGGAGCTTCCACCGGGCAGCTCCGAGGGGCGCCGAGACTGGTGACCCCTGAGCGGCGCCGCCAATGTCCGAGACCCCACCCGTGGCTCGCTCCGTCTCGCCAACCCCGCTGTCCGTGACACTGGACTCCATCCCACTGGACCCGCCAATACGCGGATGTGCAGCCAACCCAGCTCTCCCCTGTCAGGACCTGCTTACTTCTTCCCTGTCAGGACCTGTGATGGCCGGCCTCTCTTCTGAGGCACTTGCGCGCGCGCCCTCCCCGAATTCCGCATTTCCGGTATTCGCGTCTCCTTGACAACCAGAGCAGCGCCGGTACGTCATTGCACCATTTTTGCAGGTGGCCATCTTGAGTGAGGGCACGCCAGGTGGTAAGGGAGCTGTGGCCGAGCAAATAGGACCCTGTTTCTCCTTGTTTTCTGCCCTCCTAGTTCGTCTAGAGCTCAGAAGACTAGAAATTCTTTATTACAAGTCTTATATCTTTGAAGATTGCATAACCTAGGGAGGGAAAATCCGCTCCATGACCACAACAAAAATGGCGAAATCTGCTTAGAGCTCGTGCTAGGTAGGGGTTACGTAAGCCGGCGTGCTGCAAACCAGCACTGGGCTGCTCTGGATAGGTTGTCGCTCTGCAGGCTGCAGCACGCACACTTCGGCTGGACGGGGCTGTGGGCGCAGCTGTTGCTTTCTGAGAGCTTCAGGTTCTCCGACCTGCCTTCACTCGTTTGTGTCGCGAGCCAGACTGACTTTCAATTTGCGTACGTATTGTGGGGGGGTGCTGTGCTTGGGGGTCTCTTCCCCTTTCATCCAGCTACTCCCGCAACCCATGGGTCCCCGCTTTTTGACGCTTGTCCCTTGACTGCGGGTTCCCTGGTACCACTCCCTCTCGCACTCAGACCTTCTCATTTCTGGGTGCAAGGTTGCCCAGGAAAAACGAATAGGTTCCCTTGGGAACACCCGTTTGTCTGCCCCACCCCCGTCCCTAGCCTTGCCGGGTGGTCTGCGGGTGCGTGATGGAGACGCGGGTGGCAGATGTGGTGATCTAGGGCCTTTGCAGACCCCGGTTGTCAGGGGCCCCTTTTGCTTGCTTCCTTCCTGTTTGCCAGCATCGCCTGCTCCGCAGCCCAACTCTCCCGCTGCTTTGCTGCGACACAGAAGACCTAGCGGGGCGAGGGCGTCGCGGCGACGCCGCCGTCCGCCTTTGCTACCGGGGGCGTTTTATGGACGACTTGGGTGGTTCAACAGTGTGCTGCTGCCTCGGTGGTTCCTCTCCTAATCATAGTTGCTTACGTGCCGGACACTGTATTGAAGTTTAACATAAGTTATCATTTTATTCTTACAGCCAACAACCCGGGAAGGTAAATGATGTCATTACTTTACAGGTGGAGACACCGAGGCCCAGAGACATGGTTAAGTGCAGGAGCCACATGTGAACCTGGGCCTCTGATTTACTAGCTATCAGGTCCATTAAAACCCACCACCCAGCAGGATCGAGAGCCTTCACATTTTATTTTTGCATCTCGCCATGTTTTTTAGTCTTTTTTTTTTTAAGAGCTGAATACCTGTTTAACGTTAGAGTCCATTATGAAGCCAGATTGGACTTTTTTCCCATACTGCTTACTGCCCAGGTGATCTGATGGGGTTACTTAAACCACCAAGCACCAATTTGCTCACCTGTAATGTGAGTTGTAATAGCTCCTTTATCAAATTATGTGAAGTTTCAATTAGATGAAAGTCTCTGGCATGTAGCCAACACTCAGCAACTATTAATCTCTCATGCCCCGTGTTCGTGTAGTAATTAGGTTTTTCCAGTTTATCATCCATTTAGGTACCAGAGATAAATTCAGAATTACACCTGTTAAACCCCTGAAACCCCTTAGATGCTCCATTAAGTCTGTGTATTTACTTGCAAATTTTTGTTTTGTTTCTTGTTTTCTGTTGTTTTAGTTTGCCCCCTATGTGTTGGAGAATCAGTGGTGCTTGATAGAATTGACTTCACACATGAGACACTTAAGTCACAGCTGCCAAGAAGTATGATTTGAGTGAAATGTTAGATTACACAGGTGTTTAGACTTACCTGTCCTATGAGCTGCTTGCAGTTTTGATAACTGAAGGGGCCAGGCCCTGAAGGGGAGGGATAAGAACCGCAGATCTTAGGGACTCTGAGAAGCCACTGCTGTGCAGTATACCTTGGGAAGCATTCATGTGCTGGCAGCCCCAAAGGGAGCAGACACCAGGGACTTTGATACCATGCAGCAGAAGGCCCAGTTATTTCTCCGAGCTTTCAAGTATGGTATTCCTCGCCTTGGGAAGTGCATGCAGAAGCAGAATTTGAATCACTGTCCCTTCGCTGATCACTATTATAATAGAATAAAATTGAGAAAGTATCACCTAAACGAGTGTCTGCAGAGTAAACCCAAGATCTCAGAGTTAGCAAGAAACATCCCAAGGCGGAGCTTCTCGCGTAAGGTATGGACTGTTTAAGTTAACCTATTTGTAGGACATTAAGATCAATTTTAGCTTAAAAATAAATGCATAGATGATCAGAGCTACTAATTTTATAAATCTAATTTGATTTTTAAAAATTTTCAGACTCAGTTGTACAAAATATCAGTATGAAAATATCTATGTGGGTACTTCAGAGAAAGTTCATGGAAAAATAGGATTAAGACTACAAAAATTTAGAAGTTCATGCATAGCTATTTCATCATGCATATTTTCCAAGAACTTTTAAAAGATCCCTCATACATATTTATAGGTCTCTAATGTAAAATACAAAAACGTACACTTACAGAAAGGGATTCTCCTCAGGGCTTCCTTCATGTGCTTGCCACTGGGTTCCCGAATATAATCCAGCTTTCTGAAACGACTAGATGCCAGTTTATAGCTCCTGATAGGACTTAATAATACGCCAAGTGTCTTATGAATCCCAAACTTCACTAAAAGTAAACTTCACTAAAAGCCATATAACTGTATGTTATTTCTCTGTTAAAGCAAAAACCATTTGGATCTTTAATAAGACAGTGGGGGACCTGAATGCCCTAATACAGGCAGTCACATACTCAGGGCTGCCTGGGATGTTCCCAGTCTACACCTGTTGTCACTTTGCAATTATTAATAGTGTTCTCCTTTCCTCAAAATATCCTGGTTAGAATGATAAATTATATGGCCCTCCTACTTATTTGAAATTAAGCTATTTTAATTTCTGGCTTAAATGTAAGTTGTTTTTGTTATATTGTACTTTATCTTACCTGTTTAATTTTTGTTTCGTACTGATTTTTCATTTAGTCTGTTGGGACTTCCTCTTAATTATAAGAATATATTTTTGTGATCAAATACAAAATTAGCCATTTTAAGTGTACAATTTAGTGCTGTCACCTAACATACTGTTTCGCAGCCATCACCACTGTTTCCAAAACACTGTCATCACCACCTAAAATGTCTGTTAGGCAATAACTCCGCCCTCGCTTTCCCTCAACCCCTAGTCCCTCTCATCTACTTTCTTTCGGTACAAATTTGCCTATTTTAGCTAGTTCACATAAGTAGAACTATGAAATATTCATCCTTTTGTGTTTGGTTCTCTTAGTCTAATGGTTTCAAGGTCCACCCATGTTGAAGACATATCAGAACTGCAGTCCTTTTTAAGCTGAATAATATTTCATTGTATACCTAAACCACATTTTAATCCATGTGTGTGTTGATTGAATGATGGGCAGCTGCTTCTCTTTTAAAACTTTTTTAGTCTCACCCTGGCTCTGGCTTTTACCCAGCCTTTTCTCTTTTTCTAGCTCATACCTCTGTGGTATGTCCGTGTGCTTTTTTGTTTTGCCCGTAACTTTTTATCTGTTAGTCCTGTGGCTGCCCTAGATTCTTATGTTTGGTCTTTGAAATTGCTTACCTTTTATGGTACCTTGCCTCAGTTGAACAATTTCTTACTTGATTCACTTAAAAATCCTTACATCTTTTAACTTCATCTTGATCTTTTTAAATTTCTTGTGGGTTTTTTTTCTCCTTCCACATCCTTATTTTAGAACAATAAAATTGTTTAAGTTTTACCTACTGGACCAAATTCTGGACGTGGAGATGGTTTTATTTTGTATTGTGTTTAGAATAGTGCGTCATCTTGTGCTGTTAACTCTTAGCTTATAAATAGTAGGCAGGAATTACTGCCATCAGGGTAACAGCTGTGAGGTGAGCTCACACTCTAAAGGAGGTTGACTATTTTTTTCCTTCCATTTGTCCCTGAGACAGATTTTCAAATCTCTCTCTCAGATTCCCAGTACCCAGAAACTTTTATCTGACTCCGTGACTCTAAGAAGAGTACCTCTTTTGTAATTCCTTTCTCTGATAAAATCAGCCATTTCTGATTGGCAGTCAGCCATTTCTCGGAGACGTGATTGGGTCTAGGAGCTGGAGTGTCCTCTGTGATCACTGAGACCTGGGGAAGCTTTGTAAAGATAGCCTGGAAAGACCCCCAGCCAAGATGCACATTTAATTCTTGTAACCAGCATCCACTGAGTTTCAGCTTTGGCTACTCACAGGTTCTGATAAAAGTAGAAAAGGTAGTTAGTGTCTTTAGGCAAATTAAAATGTCTGCTTAACGAAAGGTTAACTGACTCACTAAGTTAACTAAGGAACAAAAACAGCATCTGTAATAGGAATGCCAGACAACAAGATTTTATATAAACACAAATACACACATAAAAAAAATTGTGTGACTGTGAACTGGTCAGGATTCTTATTTTCCTGACTTAAAGTGACGAGTTTGAATTTAGCATTGTCTAAAAGTCTTCGAAGTGCTGACATTTCATGATTGTCTACCTCTGCCTAGTTACCTTAGCATCAGTATCACCTGTAAGTCTGGAATCTTCAGTACTGATGGCTGTAATCCAGGAATTCTGAGGAGCTTTTTAGAAATGTCAGTTCATGAGTCTCGCCCCACTGGGTGAGAATCTCTGATGGAGACCTAGGGATCTGTTTTATTAAAGTTCTTCAGGGAGTTCTGAAATGCCTAGCCACTAACAGTAGACCTGTATTTAGAAACTGGAGATACTTGGCAATCTAGTGTTGTTGATTTAAACCTAATCAGACTAATTCAGGGCTGAAGTTCTTATTGGCAAGCAGCTTAACCTCACGCATTATGTTGGCTAGATGGCAAGATGAACTTGCTCTATCAGACTCAGGTGCCAGCCAGAATAGCATTAAATCAGATACCGCATTGCTTATAATCCTGCGCTGCCCGCAAAAATAATTCCTAAAATCTTGGATCATATTAATTTGAACAAGATATGAAAAGTAAAATCGAGAGAGGACTAAATCCTTCAGTTAGGTGTGTCATTTGCCTGTTTCTACAGATGAGCAGTTCCTGTACCAATCGCCCAATAAGTCGGCAGCTGTCTTATTCACTGGACTTTGAGCTGTGATTTGTACCAATCAGATTCTTCGAATCCTTTGATTCTTTGAATTTCTTCGAATTCTTATGGATTCCGAACACCACTGGGAAAGGAGAAAAATTTTAGCAAAGAACTCAAAAGTAGTCTCAACAATTTTTTTATAATTCATAAGTGGTGCTGCTTTATAGGTACAACTTCATTATTGGCTGTTTCTTCACATTCTAGTGTACTCTTTAATCTACTCCTTCATTACAATCTCTATTGGTGTCACCAAAGGTGTTACCTATTCCTACCTAGTAGATACTTCTCTTTCACCAACCCTCTTGGCAGGTCTGATGGGCCTGACCAGTCCTTCCCTGAGACACTTTCCTTTGGGCGTCGTGTCTCCACACTTCCCTCTTACCTCAAATCCAACTTTACCTCTAAATGTAGATGCTCCTGGCCCTTTATTCTCTACTTTTTTCCTAAGTAATCTTATCTCATCACGGGATTTAAGTACCGTAGCAATTATTACTTCATGCCAGACTCTTCCTCTGAGCTACACAATATTTGCCCTCTGCCCAACAGTCTCCAGTTGGACATGGCACTGGCTTCTGGGACAAACTGTCCAGCTTGAAATTCTGCTCCAGGTTGAAAGCCAACTCTTTCATATCTCCCCGCTGTGTATTCAGTTGTTCAAGCTGGAACACTGGAAAAAACTGTTTATTCTTCCCATTCCTTTTCCCTGCCATCACTTCCATTGACAAGAAAGCCAAACTGGCTTTGTGATTTTTGCCATATTTTAGTTTAACCAGCTTGTCTCATCAAATGATAATCTTCAGGAAGTCACTGGTTTGATGTTCTCCTTATTCTAATAAGATGTTCATATATATAAATCATGTATGATACCCTTTAGGAAGTACTACATCAACCTCCAAGCTATGTGTTGAATCTGCTGTGTTTTTCCATCTTCATCGATACCACTCTAGTTATCTTTTACCTGGACTGCTGGGAAAAACTCCTATTTGCCTACCCTCTTGTTCCCTTCCAGTCCATTTAGCATACAATCAAAAGAATGATCTTAAAATACAAATGAAGTAATATTACTCCCCAGCTTAAAACCCTTCCAGAACTTACTAGAAAATCCAGTTTTCTAATCATGGCCTCCACAGTCATGCAAGATCTCTCATTGCATGCCACTTTGCCCCCATTTACTTTGGTTAAGCCACAGTGGTCATCTCCCAGATTAAAGAACATAACTGTTTCCCATTCATGACCTTTATATCACTATTTCCTAATCCTGTTCACTACTATGTGACTATTTCTTTCTCCTGTTTTAGAGTTTTGATTAAATGTAACGACCTGAGAGGTTATTTTGGTTACCATGTTTAGAAATACCCTGCAGCTGCTTGGGACACTGGCATCCCAGCTAAATGCTGATTCCAGTCCTTGATGCTTGGCTTCCTGTCCAGCTCCCTGCTAATGCATCTGAGAAAACAGCAGGTGATGGCCTAAGTGCTTGGGTCCCTGCCACCTACTTAGGAGATCTACATGGAGTTCATGGCTCCTGGCTTCAGCCTGGCCCAACCCTGGCTGTTGTGGGCATTTGGGAAGTAAACCAGCAGATGGAAGGTCACTCACTCACGCTGTCTCACTTTGCCTTTCAGATAAGTAAACCTTTTTTTAAAAAAGAAACACTCTTTCTTAGGAAGTAACAAGGGAGATCTAAAGTCCAAGGATCCAAGTAGAAGAAGCAGCTGGCCGGCGCCGTGGCTCAATAGGCTAATCCTCCACCTTACGGCGCCGGCACACCGGGTTCTAGTCCCGGTCAGGGCGCCGGATTCTGTCCCGGTTGCCCCTCTTCCAGGCCAGCTCTCTGCTGTGGCCTGGGAGTGCAGTGGAGGTTATGGCCCAAGTGCTCTGCTGTGGCCAGGGAGTGCAGTGGAGGATGGCCCAAGTGCTTGGGCCCTGCACCCGCATGGGAGACCCGGAAAAGCACCTGGCTCCTGGCTTCAGATCAGCACGGTGTGCTGGCCGCGGCGGCCATTGGAGGGTGAACCAATGGCAAAAGGAAGACCTTTGCCTCTGTCTCTCTCTCACTTTCTACTCTGCCTGTCAAAAATAAAAAAATAAAATAAAAACAAAAACAAAAAAGAAGCAGCTATATGAAAGTTCTGAGGTGTGCATCCCTGCAACTGGTGTAGTAAATGTGCATGCCTCCAAGTAGTGTAGCCAAAGTGGTTGAAGATGAGTCGGAAGGTGAGCAGGGTCAAATCATTTACAAGTACTTTTGTAAAATCTCGCAAGAAATCTGAACTGCCTGCTAAAAGCAGCTGAATGCTATTGAAAAATATAGGCACAACCAGATTTGCATTTTAGAAAAAGCATTGAGACAGTTGCAGAGAATAGATTGAAAGTAGGAAACCCTGCCAGTAACTCAGAAGAATGAAGAGCCTAAACAAGACCATAAGAATGGAGTGCAGTTAAGTATTAATGCTTGCGATTAGAATGTGTAGGATGATAATCTTTCATCTGGGTTCTACAGCCCAAAGTCGTCTTACAAAACTGAAGTTTGTTTTTTTTGTTTTGCCTTTTTTTTTTTTTTTTTAATACGGATAGATGTAGAGGCAAACCTGACCAGTTAGGATAGGCATCATGTTAACAGTCCCAAACCAAAAAATTCTAAAACATTTCTGGATAATCATCATTTCTCTTTTTTTAAGATTTATTTTATTTACTTAAGGGGCAGAGTTACAGAGAAGCAGGGAGAGAGAGTGAGTCTGATCCGCTGGTTCACTCCTCAATGGCTGGAGCTGGGACGATCCGAAGCCAGGAGCCTAGAGCTTCTTCCGGGTCTCCCATGTAGGTACAGGGGCCCAAGGATTGGGCCATCTTTGGCTTTCCCAGGCCATACCAGAAAGCTGGATCAAAAGTGGAGCAGCTGGGACGTGAACCAGCACCCATATGAGATGCTGGCACCGCAGGTGGCAGCTTCACCCAATACACCACAGTGCCAGCCCCTCATCTTCATTTTTTAAGTGGACTTCTTTCACATGTGTAGCCCTGGCTGTTATTCAGATTTTAAGAATGAGAAAGGAGAATATATAAATAAAACTTCCTACTAAAGTGGAAGTTACAACAGTGTTCAGCTGAGTCTGAAATTTTGGAAAGATGTTAGTAATTGAAGAGACAAACTATATTTACTTCTGTGTGATGTAATTACATCATTTTAACCTTTTCTTGCCTGATCATTATATTGGGAGGCTTTTAATGACAGGATTTTATTACATGTATCTTATCCAGCACGTTACGTAACTGTCACATAATAGATAAGCAATGTTTATTAAATAATAGTTAATGAAATTTTTTTTTAAATATAACCATAAGTTTTAGTAAAAAGTTACCAGAAATCGTCTCTTCTGAGCTCATTTTGGGACTGTGATCTTTTTTTTGGAGAAGAGAGAGTTGCCACCTATAGTTCACGCCCCAAATGCCCACCATTTCTGGGGCTGGGGCTGAGAGCCTAGAACTCAGAGTTCTCCCTCATGGGTAGCAGGGACCCAATTACTTGAGTTATCACCGTTGCCTCTCAGGGTCTTCGTCATTGAGAAACTTGGAATTAGGAGCCAGTGCCAGAAATGGAACTCGGGCCCTCCAGTTGGATACAGTGTATTAACCCCTAGGCCCAACACCCACTGCCTGTGATCGGTTTTTGTTTTATTTTGCACATGGTTTGGGAGTAGTGGCTAAACTTTATTTTTTTGCTTTTGGACATCCAGTTAACACTATTTGCTATAAAGCTCATTATTTTCTCATTGAATTGTCTTTGGATTTCATAGTCAATTGCCTATAAATGCAAAGGTTTATTTTTGGACACCAAGTTCTATCCCATTGATCTATATGTCTTTCCTTATGATGGTAGCATTATAGTAAGTTTTAAAATCAGGATGTGTGTGAGCTTTTTTCTTTACCAATGAGGTAAGCCACAGTGCTTAAGGTTGAGTAAGAAAATCAGTAGAGTTAGAACTAGACCTCAGTTAACCTGATTCACAGTACCTTTCTTTTAAAATTCCTTTTAGTATAAAGTATTACAAATATATCCAGAATAACAACTACCTATGTATCTAATAGTCAATGTGACTTTTTTCTTATCTAAGAAAATAACATATATTTGAAGATTCCTATCTGCTTCTGTACATTTTTGCGTATAAATTACATGTGTATTTGTACTCGCAGATAGTATTTAGTCTTATGTTTGTTTTTTTTTTAAAAAAGATTTATTTGAAAGAGTAACAGAGCATGTGAGACAGGAAAAGAGATGTTTCATCCCTTGGTTCACTCCCCAACTGGCTGCAATGGCCACAGCTGCTCCATGGTGAAGCCAGGAGCCTGGAACTTCATCTAGGACTCCCACATGGGTGGTAGGGACCTGCTCACTTGGGACATCTGCTTTCCCAGGTGCATTAGCAGGCACTGGATTGGAAGTAGAGCAACCAGGGTTCAAACTGGTGCTCTGATGTGGCATGCCAGTATTGCAGGAAGCAGCTTAGCCCACTGTGCTATAACGCCAGCCCATTATTGTGTTTGGAAACACTATATAGATAGTATTTATACAACTGTTTGACTTACTGTTTTTCTGAACATTATTTTGAGTGTCTACATAATACATGAATCTGTAGTTCATTTTTTGCAGCTATTAAATAGTATCGCTTTGTATTTTATAGCACAATTCATTTTCTGTGAACAAACATGTAAAAACTGCTGCAAACCACCATCTTACATGTATCTCCTTACTGCATATGTGTTAGATTATATCTAGTGTATATCCCTAGAATTGAAATTCCTGATTGTATACACATCCTAATGTTTCTTGTCAAGTTAATTTCTCAATTGATAGTATTAACAGACATTCAAATTAGGAATGAATGAAAGGTAGAACTCTGTATCCTGGAAAACACTTGGTATTTCAGACCTCTTCATTTTTGGCCTTCTGACAGATAAATAGTATGTAGTGTTACTTAATTGTCATTGCCTTGATCAATAAAGAAGTAAGCATCTTTTATCTTAATTGATCTTGAGGATTTTGTCTTCCTGAATTGCTTACTCGTGTGAGTACTTTGACCATTTTTTCTAATGAGTTGGTCTTTTGCATACTGAGAGTTTTTAACATGTTTTTCTCTTATATGTGCTGTAGTTATTTTCTCTGTATCCTGTGACTTTGCTGCCTTTTGTTAAATGGGTCATCTTAAATTTTATGATTTGAGCTTTGTGTTTCAGCTCAGCAAACTTTTGTTGAACCATTAAACTATTTATGCATCATTCTGGTCATTGATGATATAGCAGTCAATAAAATAGAAATCCCTGTCTTCATGGAGCTTATCCTACTTGGAAGAATGGAGAAAAAGAATAAAGTACATGAGGGAAAAAGCAAAATATGTCAGAAGTGATAGGTACAGGAAAGGGAGAAACGGGCAGTGTGGGGAGAGGGTGGGCAGTGTGGGGAGAGGGTGGGCATTGTGGGGGGAGGGCGGGCAGTGTTGGGGGAGGGCGGGCAGTGTGGGGAGAGGGAGGGTTGTTACTTGAGTAAAATGGTTAGGGAAGACCCAGCTGAGAAGACGACATTTGAGCAATAACTTGAAGGACTTACTGGGCAGAGAGCACAACAGTGTATCAAAAACTGAGGTGGGGGCATGCTTGATCCTTAAACATCAGGGAGGCCGCTGTGGCTCAGTTGGAGTAACTGAGCATTGTTAGAATGTCAAGTGCTGTAGTTAGTATGTAGTATTGTCAACAAAGTAGTGAGGCGACAGCCTTAGAACCAAGTAAACACATGGTAAGATTTTATTTATTTACTTATTTATTTATTTGAAAGGTAGAGTTACAGAGGCAGAGAGAAAGGGAGGTCTGCCATCTGCTAATTGACTCTGCATATGGCTGCAACGGCCAGAGCTGGGCCTCTCTGAAGCCAGGAGCCTGGAGCTTTTCCAGGTCTACCACATGGGGGCAGGGGCCAGAGGACTTGGGCCATCCTCTACTGATTTTTCCAGGCCATAGCAGAAGGTGGAGCAGCTGGGACTCGAACCAGCGCCCGTATGAGATGCTGGCACTGAAGGTGCCTTATGTGAAGATTTTTTATTTTCCTGTTGAGTAAAATGGGAAACCAGTAGAGGAATGATACAATCTTTTTTACTTTTTTTAACCCAGAAACCTTTTATTTAAGGTATACAAACTTCATGCATTTCATAAAGACAAATTTAGAAACATAGTGATTCTTCACACCCTATCTTCACTCCCACCCTTCTTTCTCCTCCCTCTCCTATTCCCAGTCTTATTTTTTTTTTACTAAGATCTATTTGCAATTAACTTATACACATAAGATTAACCCTATACTAAGAGTTCAACAAACAGCATGAGTAAAAAAAAAATCTCTTCCTCAAGTCAAGACAAGGGCTATTCAGAGTCATCACATCTCAAAATGTCAGTTTCACTTTTATAGATTACCTTTTAGGTGCTGTTGGTTACCATAGATCAGGGAGAACATACGGTATTTGTCCTTCTTGGACTGGTTTATTTCACTAAGTATAATGTTTTCCAGTTGCATCCATTTTGTTGCAAACTACAGGATTTCATATTTTTAACTGCTATGTAGTATTCCATGGTGTACATATCCCCAAAAAAATTTTATAAGATTTTATTTGAGAGGTAGAGTTACACACAAAGAGAAGGGTCTTCCATCCGCCGGTTCACTCCCCAAATGGCCACAGCGGCCAGAGCTGAACTATTCAGGAGCCAGGAGTTTCTTCCAGGTCTCCCATGTGGGTACAGGGATCCAAGCTCTTGGACCATCTTCCACTGCTTTCTCAGGCAATAGCAGGGAGCTGAATCAAAGAGGAGCAGCCTGGACTAGAACCGGTGTCCATATGGGATGCCGACGCTGTAGGCAGAGAATTAACCTGTGCCACAGCACTGGCCCCCATAATTGGACATTTGAGTTGATTCCATATCTTTGCTATTCTGAATTGAGTTGTAGCAATCTGACCAGACTTGCTCTAGCTGCTTTAACTAGAAGGCAAGACCAGAAGGAGAGAGAGCATTTGGGCTTTGTTGTAATCCAAAGGAGAGATGGTGGTGGTCCACCAGAGTAGTACAGGTCAAGGTAAGAGAAATGATCACATTCGGATACATCTTAAATAGAATTGAAAGGTGTAAGCTGTTCATTTCGTGTGGCAGGAAAGCAAGGCAAAGCAGATTCAAAGTCTTTTTGACCTTGAACCACTGGCAGTACAGACTCGTTTTGTCATTTTTAGAAATAGAAAAGATTGCCTGGAGAATAGGATTTTGGGTGACAACGGTATACAGAAAGACCATAAGGTTGATTTTCGGATATTGTTTGATATACCTACTAGAAATCCAAGTAGCAATGTTAAGCAGTCAGCTGTAAACCCAAGTTCAACTTGTTCTGGGGAGAGGTTCAGGGTGGTTATAAATTTGGGGGTCCTAAACATATGAGTAGCATTTAAGGTTACGACTTGGTGAAATCACCAGGGAAATTAGTGCAGATGATGAAGAAGAAAAGGTGGTCCAGGAACTGCACCGCGCTGATCCGAAGCCAGGAGCTTCCTCCTGGTCCCCCATGCGGGTGCAGGACCCAAGCACTTGGGCCATCCTCCACTGCCTTCCTGGGCCACAGCAGAGAGCTGGACTGGAAGAGGAGCAACCGGGACAGAATTGGCGCCCCAACCGGGACTAGAACCCGGTGTGCCGGCGCCGCAGGCGGAGGATTAGCCTGGTGAGCCACGGCACCGGCCAATAGTACTTTTAAATAACAATCCATTTACAAATATAGCTCAAAATTTTAGGTGCTGGTGCTGTGGCATATAAGGTTAAGTAGGCTCTTTAATCCACCAGTTCACTCCCCAGAAGGCCACAGTGGCTTGGGCTGGACCAGGTGGAAGCCAGGAACCAGGAGCTCCATCTGGGTCTCCCACATGGGTGCCATAGCCCAAACACGTTGGCCATCTTTTCATTGCTACTGTTTCTTATGTCATTTTTTTCTTATCAATATTGCTATTCATTTTTATTTTCTGAAAGAACCAACTCTATTTGGCTGAGTCTCTCTAGTTTCTGTTTTAACAACTTCATTAAAACGTATTTTCTTCTATTCCTTTAGATTTTACTCTTTTTAAGATTTTACTTGAGAGGTAGAGTTACAGGGAGAGGGAGAGACAAAGTCTTCCATCCGCTGATTCACTCTCCAGGTAGCCACAACGGCTGGCGCTGAGCCAATTGGAAGCCAAGAGCCAGGAGCTTCTTCCAGGTCTCCAGTGCAGGTTCAGGGTACCAAGTGCTTGGGCCGTCTACCTCTTTCCCAGGCCATAGCAGAGAGCTGGGTCAGAAGAGGATCTTTTCCTCTTTTTCCACTGCTTTTCCCAGGTCACTAGCACCCGTATGGGATGTTGGTGCCACAGGCAGAGGATGGTGAACCTACTGTGCAACAGTGCTGGCCCCCTTTTCTCTTTCTTAAATTGAAGCATTTCATATTACTTAATATCAGGAAACATATCATGTCTAGGTGCCCCACTGTTAACTGATACTAATTTAGTTAGTGATAACTGCTATTTTGTTTGCCTTAAGATTTATATTATTTGAAAGGCAGAGAAAGATCTTCCACTCCTCAGATGGCCACAACAGACAGGGCTAGGCCAGGCCAAATCCAGAAGTCCAGAACTCCATTCTGGTCTCTCACATGGATGGCAGGGCCAGAAGTACTTGAGCCATCTTCTGCTGTCTTCCCAGGCACAATAGCAGGAGCTGGATTGGAAATGGAGCAGCCAGGACTCACAGGCTCCAATGGGATGCCTGTGACGCAGACTGTGGCTTAACCCACTGTAGCACAGTGCCAGCCCCAATAACTGCTATTTCTTAACCATTGTTTTGTTGTTGTTTTCAGTGTGGTTTTCATACCATTTCAGGATTTTTATTAAGTGTAAAATGCTATAAATTAATATTTTAAGAAAAATCAAGTAAAATCCTTTACAGTATCATACAACTTAAAGTCTGGCTATTTTTCTTTTTTATAATTTTATTTTTTAGATTTTAGGATGTGACAGTTTTTAACATTTTACCACATTTATTTCATATGTAAATATTATGTACATACACATATATCCTGTTTTGGGAAAGAAGGTGTTTTTTTTTTTTCCTAAGATTTATTTAATTGAAAGTCACTGTTGGGGCCAGTACTGTGGTGTAGCAGGTAAAACCGCTGTCTGCAATGCTGGCATACCATATGAGCTCTGGTTCAACTACTGGCTGCTCCAGTTCTGATCCAGCTCTCCGCTATGGCCTGGGAAAGCAATAGAAGATGGCCCAGGTCCTTGGGCCCCTGCACCCACATGGGAGACCCAAAAGAAGCTCCTGGTTTCGAATCGGCATAGCTCTGGCCACTGCAGCTGTTTGGGGAGTGAACCAGCGTATGGAAGATAACTTTGCCTCTGCCTCTGCCTCTCTGTAACCCTTGACTTTAAAATAAAATAAATCTTTAAAAAAAAAAAGAAAGTCACTGTTACAGAAGAGAAGTCTTCCATCTGCTGTTCACTCTCCAAGTGGCTTCAACAGCCAGGGCTGAGCCAGACTTAAGCTAGGAGCTTCATCAGGGTGGCAGCAACCCAAGCGTTTGGGCCGTCCTCCGCTGCTTTTCCCAGGTCACTAGCAGGTAGCTAGATGGAAAGTGGAGCAGCCAGTACACAAATCGGTGCCCATATGGTGGCTTTACCTGCCATGCCAAGATACCTGCTGCTATAATTCTTAATTCTTAACCCTTGTTGAAGGGATTTAATTTTAATTCCCTTTGTCAATCTGTAGGTAACCTGCACAATAATAGAGGTTGGAGCCGGCGCCGCGGCTCACTAGGCTAATCCTCCGCCTAGCGGCGCCAGCACACCAGGTTCTAGTCCCGGTTGGGGCGCCGGATTCTGTCCCGGTTGCCCCTCTTCCAGGCCAGCTCTCTGCTATGGCCAGGGAGTGCAGTGGAGGATGGCCCAGGTGCTTGGGCCCTGCACCCCATGGGAGACCAGGAAAAGCACCTGGATCCTGGCTCCTGCCATCGGATCAGCGCGGTGCGCCGGCTGCAGCGGCGGCCATTGGAGGGAGAACCAACGGCAAAGGAAGACCTTTCTCTCTCTGTCTCTCTCACTGTCCACTCTGCCTGTCAAAAATAAAAAAAAAAAAAATTAAAAAAATAATAATAATAGAGGTTGGGCAGCCCTAAGATGAAATCTGAAAATGTAAAATCTGTAAAATGCTATAAAATCTGGAACTTCTTGAGCATCATGTTGGCACTCAAAAGTTTTGATTTGGGAGAATTTTGAATTTCAGATTATCTGATTAGGAATGCTGCTAGAGTAACACGTATATGAGTATGTCAAAATACAAAAAAAAATCTAATCTGAAACATTATAGTCCCAATGTTTTGAATAAAGGATACTCAAGACCATACTTTGGTATTCTGTGCATATTGTATAACTCAGAACTGTCGATGATCAGTTGTTTTTACTGGGTGCTTGGTACATTATTTTCTAATATTTTTAATGCACATGGAGATGATATTTTATAAAGAGGGGTAGATCCTTTCTTGTTTTTCCCCCCTTTAGCTTTTGGTTTTTCTGTTACTTGTTTTTCCCCCAATGATTTATAACTAATTACAGTCATAATTCTTTGTAATGCTCGAGCTATCCCAAATGTAACGAGTAGGAATCCCTTCAGACCTAGCTTTGCATCCATTTGACATACCTGCTTAACCCTGAGCACTTCCTGACTTTCTGGCACAAGATTTCCTGCTCTGCCTTAGAGGTAGCCACTTAATAATAGCACCATCTCTAAAAGGCTGCTGGAGTTTTCTAATTTGCTATTGTTTTCTGTCTTTAAATTTAAGCCTTTTTGTCATAATAAAGTTACACATTCCATTCTCCTGTTTTATAACAACTTTTATTAAGTTTTGTTAAGGGCCAGTGGTAAGGTGAGAAGGAGTGCTCCTTTTTTTCCACTCATGGTTGATACTCACATGTAGTCTTTTTTTTTTTTTTTTTTTTTTTTTGACAGGCAGAGTGGACAGTGAGAGAGAGAGACAGAGAGAAAGGTCTTCCTTTGCCATTGGTTCACCCTCCAATGGCTGCCACGGCCAGCACGCTGTGGCCGGCGCACCTCGCTGATCCGATGGCAGGAGCCAGGTACTTATCCTGGTTTCCCCTGGGGTGCAGGGCCCAAGGACTTGGGCCATCCTCCACTGCACTCCCTGGCCACAGCAGAGAGCTGGCCTGGAAGAGGGGCAACCGGGACAGAATCTGGCGCCTCGACCGGGACTAGAACCCAGTGTGCCGGCGCCGCTAGGTGGAGGATTAGCCTAGTGAGCCGTTCGCTGGCCTCACCTGTAGTCTTAATAGTTAAAAATGAAGCGTTCCTTAGTTCCCCTTCATTAGGTACATATGTGTTCTTGAAACAACTGGAGTATTAAAGTATTAAGATGCTTGGTGGAAATGGATACCTTTAGTTATGTACCTTCGAGATAATGCTAGCTGGGAGTGAAAATGAAAACTTAAAGCATTCAGAGTCCCAAGATGATGGGACAGAACAAAACCCAAAACAACTTGGAACAGCTTATGAACACTTTGTAAAATCTCAACTTCCATGGGAGTAATTCCTTTTCAGAAATTATAAAGCTCTGAATTGCTACACATTGCACAGTAAGAGGAAGTCACAAATTCTACTGGTTTCTGAATTATTTTGGTTCAGATAAATTCAGTTGATTGGGATTTCTGACTCAGAAAAAAGTTATTCGGTAATATAAAATAAAAGGACAAGCATGAGATCCAGATCTATTGCCTTTAGTTTTATGTTGGCCATGGTTCTCAGAACAGGTGCTAAAAAGTGAGAGCGCCCAGCTCCATGACCTAGAATGTCCCAGGAGCTGCATGGAGTAGAGTGAGGTACTTTTCATAGCTCTCCTGGCTCTACTTCAGAGTTCCAGTGGGGATTACTGGACACAGAAAATTTTATCTGGAAATGAAAAGGCAACTCCTATTGCTGGATTATACTTCTAGGATAGATTTCTACTTCTGATTTAAAATGTAATGTTTCTGTTCGGTGATATCATGGAATTATTGGATTATTCATATGGATATTTTGAGTCACTACTCTAAAGAACAATCAGATTTTGTAGAAATCCTTAAAAAAAAGGGGGGGGGGCGCCGTGGCACACTAGGTTAATGCTCCGCCTGTGGCGCCGGCATCCCATATAGGTGCTGGGTTCAAGTTCCTGCTGCTCCTCCTCCAGTCCAGCTTTCTGCTATGGCCTGGGATAGCAGTGGAGAATGGCCCAAGTGCTTGGGCCCCTGCACCCACATGGGAGACCAGGAGAAAGCTCCTGGCCTCTGGCTTCAGATCTGCGCAGCTCTGGCCGTTGTGGCCGTCTGGAGAGTGAACCAACAGAAGGAAGACCTTTCTCTCTGCCTCTCTCACTGTAACTCTACCTGTCAAATAAAAAAAAAAAGCTAAAAAACCCTGAAAACTGAAAAAATAAACATCAAAGCCTCCAGTTTGGGGACTGTTGCACCAAAATAAACTTACCTTCTTATTCCACTTTTCCATGAACTTTTTGAAGTACCCTTGCGTGTTATTAGATGTGGAGGCTAAATGAGGTTATCATAGTAACCATTATACTAATTGAATCTAATACAAATCATAACAGTCCACAAGTATCAGGAAAATTTTATGGAAATGATTTTTTTCCATCTTGTTTTGGTGATTTTTCTATTCTGTTTAATTTTAGATAGTAAACTCTTTGTAATACTATATTTATAGCTTACATTCTCAACAGCATTGGTAAAGTATCTCGTATGTACTTGTGCAATAAATATTTGCCAGCTGTTGGAGGTCCTCACCAAAGGCTTAGTGCCCCTTCTGGCACACATCACTGTGCAGTTGTCATCTTTGGCAGAGGGCTGAAGTTGAAAATCTTGGCTAGAGTTCTTTTGTTAAAACAAGGCAAGCCAGTGAAGTAATGAATTATTGAACATCTTTTTTTATTTGACAATTGAGATTCTGCCTTTCCTAAATTTTAATCATTCATAGGGTATTTGGTTGCTTATCATAGGCCAAAGCTCTTAGCCTGTAGACACTCCCAATAAATTATCATAAATGCTTGTTTCACCCTCATCTGTATTTCTAATCATGTTCATTGTCCACTATTTTTCTGAATTCCTTTCATAAAGTGAATTTTTTCCTTAAAGAATGAAATTCATGTTTTTATCAGTTCTGTTTGAGGAGTTATCTCCACAAGAAAAAATGATGATTAATGAAGTAGTACTAATTTCATCCAATTCTGATAGAATAGCAGTGAACATTTGTTGGTAAAGATAATCTCTCTGTTCCTTTGATAATTCTCTCCTTTTAGGAGGTAATTCATTATTTATAAAACCAAATGAATATTGTCTAAAACATCTTAATACTACATTTTAAGAACTATTTTAAAATAAATAATATATGACCATCAAAAGTCTTTTGTTTTTAAGTAAAAAAATCATTTTATTGATAAACTTAAGAATATTTAAAATCTATAAAATGCATATTATTACACAGGTATGGACCTAACACTGTAATCTTTAATTGAAAATGAAGTAAGAATTATTTTTAAAAAGCAAAGGTTTCTCCCTCCTAATTTGAAATATTGTAAACATACCAGTAAAACTTTCTCTAGGATAATCTGCCTATTAAACAAGAAAACGAAAAATCCCCTTCAGAAAATATGGATGCATTTGAAAAAGTGAGAACAAAATTAGAAACACAGCCACAAGAAGAATACGAGATCATCAACGCAGAGGTAAGATAAACCATGTCTTTTTTCTATCATTGATGTTACCACTCAGAAACCTTTTGATTCATAGACATAATCCCACATGAAAACAGTACTGCTTTTGACCTTTCAGATGTGCTACAAAATTTAATAGGCAGAGTATGATCCTCACATTTAAGGATAAAAGCTAAGGTGAATTTACAAACATTATTAAATTTTGAGCTTTTGCAAGAATCAATTCTGCTTAAAAATTTTGTAATTATTCTAAGGAGAAGTTTAAATGAAACTTATTCACATATCTTTTTCATTTAAAATGTATTTTATTGCTGTATCTACTTTTTTTGATAAAAGGAAATTTACTTTTTTTTTTTTTTGGTCAGGCAGAGTGGACAGTGAGAGAGACAGAGAGAAAGGTCTTCCTTTGCCATTGGTTCACCCTCCAATGGCCGCCATGGCCAGCGTGCTGTGGCCAGCGCACCGCGCTGATCCGATGGCAGGAGCCAGGTACTTATCCTGGTTTCCCCTGGGGTGCAGGGCCCAAGTACTTGGGCCGTCCTCCACTGCACTCCCTGGCCACAGCAGAGAGCTGGCCTGGAAGAGGGGCAACCGGGACAGAATCTGGCGCCTCGACCGGGACTAGAACCCAGTGTGCCGGCGCCGCTAGGTGGAGGATTAGCCTAGTGATCCGTGGCACCGGCCAGAAATTTACTTTTAAGTAGAGTAATACCATGATAACTACATATATGGTTACCACAGTTATAAATGCTTAACTGAAATATTGTACATACTGAAAATTTTTCAATAACATTTAAAAATGGAACCACAGATTATAAATGAAAATCATGTACATACCAGAATGGAAATAGTCCTAGGTTAAAAACCAGGAATTCTAGATTTAACTTAATGCCACTATGTAGTAAATAGTATGTCTTAAGCCAGCTGAAATCATTTCAGTTAATTGCTGTTAATATGGAGGAAGAGTGCTACTCACATGTTGGTAATTCATTCTTGCCATCTCAAACTGCCATTATCTGTCATTGCAGAGGATAAGGGCCTGTGTATAAGATCAGACCTAGACTGCATTGGTAGTAATGACAACAGGTTTTGAAGGAAAGAATCTCAGGAAGTTTTCAGGCTTATGAAAGTTTCAGTCACCTCATCTGCATCATTTTGGATTTTCTTAGGGTTGCCACTTGGTCTAGTTCCTAAACTATGTCTGAAGACATGAGAACTGACATATTTCATGATACTTTGACTTTATTGCCGAGATTGTAAGCATATGGAAATGATTTCTTAGCAGTTACGTTGTAAGAAGGAGTCTGCTATATTTAATACATCTTCATAGATGTCAACAGATCTGCTTTATATGAGAGATCTCATTCTTCATCTTGAATAGTCAGACCTAAAATTAACCTAAAAGATTAATTAAATAAATACTAAAGAAAACATTGTCTTCTCATTTTCAGGTTAAGCATGGTGGTTTTGTATATTATCAGGAAGGTTGCTGCTTGGTTCGTTCCAAAGATGAAGAAGGTACAACACGATTTTGCTTTTAGCATGCCCTGATTTTTTTTTAGGTTTCACTTTTTTGAAAAGGGAATTTTGTATTAATTCCTCAGATATAAGAAATGTTCTGTGATTATTTCTCAATTATCTTTTTCTTTTAAGACTTGTTTTATTTATTTGAAAAGCAGAGTTACAGAGAGAGGTAGAGACAGAGTTCTTCAATCTGCGGTTCACTCCCTACATGGCCTTAATGAAAGCTGGGCCAGACCGAAGCCAGGATCAAGGAGCTTCTTCCTGTTCTCCCATGTGGGTGCTGGGACCCAAGCACTTGGCTCTGCTGCTCTCCCATGTGCATTAGCAGGGAGTTGGATTGGAAGTGAAACAGCTGGGACTTGAACCAGTGCCCAAAGGGGATGCCAGAGCTGCAGGCTGTGGCTTTAACCCACTGCGCCACAGCACCTGCCCCTTAGTTATCTTTGTAAACAGCTTTTTAGAAATATTAAGTTTGTTTAATGTAAAGTTAACAACTATACTCATAAGCTTTGGGAGAATGGAGATAGATTTGGGCATTTAGTAGTAGGCACTTTATAGATATTATTTGATGCTGTTTATACTCTGTTGCTTTCTAGGTTTTATATACTCTATAAATAATAGACTGGACTGTATTGTTAATTGAATATTAGCTCATAGGTTGATGCATAGAATAATAATAGCATAGGATAATATTAAATGACGCCAGTTTATGCACAAATTGCCAAGTATTGAAGGAAGCCAGGAAATGGCATATACAAGGGAAATGCTAATTTAAAACAATGAGACACAGTTTAAAATATTTTTAAATGTAACTTGTGAAGTAATTTCTTTCTTTTCTTTATACAGCAGACAATGAGAATTATGAAGTTTTGTTCAATTTGGAAGAACTTAAACTGGACCAGCCCTTCATTGATTGTATCAGAGTTGCTCCAGATGAGAAATACGTGGCTGCCAAGATAAGAACTGAGGATTCTGAAGCATCTACCTGTATAGTTGTGAAGCTTAGCGATCAACCTGTAATGGAAGCTTCTTTCCCAAATGTGTCCAGTTTTGGTAAGCCCCTAACTAAAATAGTCTATATGTTGAAAAGGCAGCAGTAGGAGATGCTCACATTTTGAAACCATTTTTTTGTCAATGTGAATGAGGGAGATGGTGAGTACCTGATTGATTTATCCATGTGAACTCCATATCTTTCTATTTGCTTCTTATGCTTATAATTCTTTAATTATATATGTAGGGGCTGGCACTGTGGCATAGCGGGTAAAGCTGCCACCTCCAGTGCCAGCATCCCATATGGATGTCAGTTCAACTACCGGCTGCTCCTCTTCCAATCCAGCTCTCTGCTATGGCCTGGGAAAGCAGTAGATGGCCCAAGTCCTTGGGCCCCTGTACCCACATGGGAGACCTAGACGAGGGTCCTGGCTCTTGGCTTCGGATTGGCACAGCTCTGGCCATTGCGGCCATCTGGGTAGTGAACCAGCGGATGGAAGACCTCTCTCTGCGCCTCTGTCTCTGTAATTCTGCCTTCAAATAAATAAATAAAACTTTAAAAAATGAACTTATGAGGTCACTTTCAAATGCACTAAGTGCAGTGAGTTCTTTAAAAAAAAATTATATATATTTATATAGGTGATTTTTAAATGCTCATTTTTAAAGTTATCGGAGTCCAGTTATACAGTGTATTGAGATATATATAATATATATACATATATATAGTATATTTTGAGATAATTCCTTTTTAAGATTTATTTATTTGAAAGGAAGTGTTATAGAGAGGTAGAGAAAGTGAGGTCTTCATCTGCTGGTTGACTCCCCAGATGGCTGCAGTGGACATAGCTGGGCCTGTCTGAAGCCAGGAGCTTGTTCTATGTCTCCCACGTGGGTGCAGGGGCCCAAGTGATTGGGCCATCCTCCACTGCCTTCCTAGGCACATTAGCAGGGAGCTGCATCGGAAGTGGAGCAGCCAGGACTTGAACCAATGTCCATATGGGATGCTGGCACTTTAGGCAGTGGCTTTACCCACCACACCACAGTTCTGGCCCCTTGAGAAAATTCTTTACAATTATTTAGAATAAATTTTTCATATGAGAGGCATCTTAATAGTTTGGATATTTTTTTAATTCCATGTTGTCTCACCATGCTGTTACTGGAAATTTGCCAAAAGTCACTATCCAAAAGTCCATGTCACTTGGAACATGTTGAAGTAACTCATCAGTGGGAACCATGACATTTTTAATAATAAAACCAATTAACTATTAGCATTTGTCATTGAATGGTACATACATATTTCACCATTCTCCCTCTTCATTTTGTGCCATCACTTTCCCCATCCTTTAAGTGCTTTTGCAGTGAATTGAAGTTATGCCTTACTGAATGGATTCTAACACCTACATTTTGTACATTTTAACCTCTAAAATAAGAATGCTTATTATGCTCTACAATGATGACTTAACAGTCACTGTCAGCCAGGTGGCAGTCATGTTGTAATTGTGGGCAAGCTTCCATTGACAGCTTTTGATGAAATCAAGAACCAGCACTAAGATGTGTTTGACAGGGGTAGGTGTTTGATGTAATAGTTAAGCCACAGATTGGGATGCCCACATACCATATCAGATGCCTGGTATGAAATCCAAATCTGCTACTGATTCTCGCTTCCTACTGATGCCAGCCATGGGAGACAGAAGGTTATTGCTAAGAAGTTTGGTCCCTGCCACCCCATGAGAGACTTGAATTGAGTTTCTGGCTTCTTTGTTTGGCCTAGCCCATCCCTGACCATCACAGGCATTTGGGGAGTAAACCAGTGGATGGGAGCTCTTCCTGTCTCTAATGTGTCTCAACTTGATTAAATAAATAATTCTAATATATTCACTTTGAGATATCATCATCATGTGGGTTGAAAGCAGATTAAAAAAAAAATACCAGAATGAAAAAAAGGGGTCCAGTATTTATTTAAACTTCAAGTTACAATCTGTAGATTTAAAAAGAATTCATCTTCTGAAAGCAAATGACTTTACCAACAGCTTATCTAAATACCAAACATTTCTATACTCTCGTATAAAAACTTGAAGTCTTCAAACTGAAGAATCAGTGTTTTATTCTCCAGAAAACTCTTCGACTTATATATGAGGATACTTCAAAAAAGTTTGTGGAAAATGAAATTAAAAAACAAGTTGATTTTGGTGCAAAAATATATTGAAGTCTATTCATACACATATGGATCAAATGTATGGGATAGTTGTATTTGGGTATTCATTGATAAACTTGTGCATCTCTGCTCTTTGGCACTCAAAATTAGCATATACTACGCTTTTTCACTTCATCTGTATGTGGCTATGTATAATTCTTAAATTATTTTCTTTCAGAATGGGTCAAGGATGAAGAAGATGAAGATGTTTTATTCTACACCTTCCAGAGGAATCTTCGCTGTCATGATGTTTATCGAGCAACTTTTGGTGATAACAAACGTAATGAACGTTTTTACACAGAAAAAGACCCAAGGTACTAGAATAGTGCAGTTGAATCTTTTCCAGTTACTTGAAGCATTGTTCTACATTGACTTAAAATAATGACTTTGGTTGTAATCACATATTGTAAGGCTAAGGGATGGTCATTTCTTTTGTTACTTGGTTCAAAAGTGGAGTCTGGTTATAATCAGACTCTAGAGTAAGCACTAATACATCCCTACATTTAATTGCCAAGTCGCAGACATTCTGTCTGGACTATAACACATGAGAAGAGTTGTTAGTTAAACATTTAGTGGGGTTGCCATATATAGCAATCATAAATCTCCCATAAGTCATAACTAACATGCCATGGTGTCAGTTGCCCAAAATTAACTATTCATTTCATGTAGATTATCTGACTTATAAATTGCTTTGAACAATCATGTTTATTAGTCTTAAAATTTACATTCCTAGTACTTTGGTAGTTCTTTAAATTTCCTCCAGCTCCTTATAATTTCCGGGACTTATGCCTCACTATTTAACCAGGGTTGAGAGGAAGTGGTGGTAAATTTATCCCTTGTCTCTTAACCAGATGTACTAATTTTTTTTTTAAGATGGATTTTATTTATTTGAAAGACAGAGCTACAGAGAGGCAGAGAGAGAGAGAGAGAGAGATCTTCCATCCTCTGGTTCACTCCCCAATAGCCACAATGGCCAGAGCTGGGCCCATCCGAAGCCAGGAGCCTGGAGCTTTTTCTGGGTCTCCCGTGCAGGTGCAGTGGCCCAAGGATTTGGGCCATCTTCTGAGAAAGAGAGACAGGTCTTCCATCCGCTGGTTCATTCCCCAAATGACTGCAATGGCTGGAGCTGGGCCAATCCAAAGCCAGGAGCCTGGAGCTTCTTCCGGGTCTTTGTGTGGGTGCAGTTACACACTTTTCCAGGTGATAGCAGAGAGCTGGATCAGAAGCAGAGCAACCAGGACTCGAACCGGCGCCCACATGGGTTGCGGGCACCATAGGCGGTGGCTTTACCCACTTTGCCACAGCACCAGCCCCAGACATACTTTCTGAAATGATTTATGGAAAAATAAATTTTGCCTTAATGTCAAGACCATGACACCTAATTCTGTAACGACTATAATTGGTATTTTGACAGAGAGTGCACTGACTCTATAGATTACTTTAGGTATACATACATTTTAATGACATTAATTCTTCCAATCCATGAGCAAGAAATATCTTTGCTTTTTTTATCTGTACCCTTGATGGTTTCTTCCATCAGTGTTTTATAATTTTCATTGTAGAGATCTTTCAGTTCTTTTATTAAATTCAGAAATATTTGATTATTTCTCTTTTGTGGCAATTGTGAATTGGATTTCTTTCTTGTCTCTTTTTTAGTGAGTTCATCCTTAGTTATAAAAAAACTATTTTTTGTTTATTTTGTAACCTACAACTTTATTGAATTGGTTTATCTGTTCTAACAGCTTTGGTGGAGTGTTTTGGTTTTTCCAAGTATAACGTCATGTCATCTGCAAACAGATTTTTTTAAATTCTCCTTTCCAATTTTGATGTTTTTTATTTCTTTCTCCTTCCTAATTGCTCTTGCAAATACTTCCAGTACTATATTAAATTAAGAGTTGTGAAAGTAGACATCTTTCCCTTGTTCCAGATCTAAGGAGAAATGCTTTGCCTCCTTTGGTATGATATTGGCTGTTGCTTTGTCATATATAATTGTTATAATTTTGAGGTATATTCCTTCTATACCTAATTTGTGGAGGATTTTTATCATGAAGGGATGTTGAATTTTATATCAAATGCATTTTCCACATCTGTTGAGGTGACCATATGGTTTTTGTTCTTCATTCTGTTGATCTAATTGATGATATTTGTTGGTTTGCTGATGTTGAACCACCCTTGCATGTCTAGGATAAGTACCACTTGATCATGATGTCTAATGTTTTTGATGTGATTTTGATTTCAGTTTGCTAGCATTTTGTTGAGAATTTTTGTGTGTATGTTGATTCAAGGAAGTAGATCTATATTTTTTTGAAGGTTTTTATTTGAAAGTTAGTTACAGTGAGACAGGAAGAGACAGAGAAGAGAGAGATCTTCTGTCCACTGGTTCAATCCCCACATGGCCACAAAGACCAGGGCTGGGCCAGGCCAGAGCCAGGAGCTTCTTCCAGGCCTCCCACGTGGGTGCAGGGGCCCAGGCTCATGGGCCATCCTACGCTGCTTTTTTCCAGGCACATTAGCAGCGAGAGAGCTGAATTAGAAGTGGAGCAGCCAGAGCTTGAACTGGTGCCCATATGGAATGTTGGCACTACAGACTGCAGCTTAACTCAGTAGACCCTATAGCTTTCTTTTCATGTTGTCTTTGGTTTTGGTATAAGAGTGATGCTGGCCTCATAAAGAGTTTGGCAGAGTTCCATCCTGTTGAATATTTTGGAACAGTTTGAAAAGTATTAGAGGGGCTGGCGCTGTGGCTCTGCAGGTTAACGCCCTGGCCTGAAGCTCCAGCATCCCATATGGGCACCAGTTCAAGACCTGGCTGCTCCACTTCCAATCCAGCTCTCGGCTATGGCCTGGGAAAGCAGTAGAAGATGGCCCAAGTCCTTGGGCTCCTGCATCCATGTGGGAGACCCGGAAGAAGCTCCTGGCTCTTGGCTTCAGATCGGCACAGCTCCAGCCATTGCGGCCATCTGGGGAATGAACTATCAGAAGACTTTCTCTCTCTCTCTCTGCCTAATCTCTCTTTGTTTAACTCTGACTTTCAAATAAATCTTTAAAAAAAAAAAGTTGGAGGCAGTTTATCTTTAAATATTTTTTTAAGATTTATTTATTTTTATTTGAGAGGCAGAGGTGGAAGGGGGGGCGGATTTCTATTCACTGGTTCACTCCCCAAGTGGCTGCAACAGCTGGAGCTGGGCTGATCCAAAGCCAGGAGCTTCTTCTGGGTCTCCCATGTCAGTGCAGGGGCCCAAGGACTTGGACCATCTTCCACTGCTTTCCCAGGCTGTAGCAGAGAGCTGGATCAGAAGTGAAGTAGCCAGAACTTGAAATGGCACCCTTATGGGATACCGGTGCTGCAGGCAATGGCTTTACCCACTATGCCACAGCACCGGCCCCCACTTCAAATGTTTTGTAGAATTTAGTAGTAAAGCCATCAGGTCCTAAACTTTGCCTTGATGGAAAACTTTTATTACTGCTTTAATCTCATTGCTTGTTAGTGATATGTTTTTTGTATCTTCTTGATTTAGTCTTGATAAGTTATATGTATCCAACAAAATTTATCCATTTCTTCAAAGTTTTCCAGTTTGTTTTCATAGTAGTTAAGTTTGTTTTTAAACAGATTTACTTTTATTTATTTGAAAGGTAGATTTACAGAGAGAAGGAGATCGATCTTACATCTTCTGGCTCACTCCCCAAATGGCTGCAATGGCCAGGGCTTTCCCAGGCCAAAGCCAGGAGCCCAGAGATGCTTCTGGGTCTGCCACATGGATGCAGGAGCCCAAGCACATCAGTAATCTGCTGCTTTCCCAGGCACATTAGCAAGGAGCTGGGTCGGAACTGTAGCTGCTAGATCTTGCCCATATAGGATGCCAGCCCATATAGAATGGCAGCTTAACCCACCCTGCCACAACTCCAGCCCTCACGGTAATTTCTTAGGATCCTTTGTATTTCAGTGGTGTTGGTTATGGTGACTCTTCTTTCATATCTAATTTTATTTGAGTTTTTCCTTTTTTTCTTGTTAGTCTGGCTAAAGATTTACCTCTTTTAATCATAGAAAAACAGCTTTTTGTTTTGATCTTTTGTTTTTGGTTTTATTTTTTAAGTTTCAATTTGATTTGTTTCTGCTCTGATCCTTATTATTTCTGCTTGTTAAATTGGGTTGGTTGGTTCTTATTTTCTTAAGTCTTTAAAATGCATTATTAGATTATTTGAGACATTTCTCTTTTTACAGTTTTTGATTTAAAGTCTTTTTATCTAATATGAATATAGCTACAATTGCTTGTTTTGGTTTCCATTTTCTTGGTATATCTTTAGCCCTTCACTCTATGTGCATCTTTATTTGTGAAATGAGTTTCTTGTAGGCAGCATGTAGTGGGGTCTTGGTTTTTTTATTCATTCAGCCAACCTAAAGTTTTCAGCTGGAGAACTTAATCCGTTTACATTTAAGGTTAGCATTGAAAATGAACTAACACCTGTCATTTTGTTGATTGGTTCCTGATTGTACCTGCTCTGGGCATGAATTTGGTAGTCATGTGTTTTCATGAAGTTTACTTTTTTTTTTTTTTTTAAGGTTTATTTATTTGAAAGAGTAAAGGGCAGGATGGAGTGGGGAGATCCTCTATCTGCTGGTTCACTCCATAGACAGCCGCAGCAGCTGGGCTGATCGAGGCTGAAGCCAGGAGATTTCTTCCAGGTCTCCCACATGGGTGGCAGCTGCCCAGATATTTGTGCTGTCTTCTGCTGCCTTTCACAGGCCATTAGCAGGGGGTTGGATCATAAGTGGAATAGCTAGGACACAAACCAGCACCCATATGGGATGCTGGCATTACAGGCAGTGGCTTTACCCACTATGCCACAATGCTGACCCTAATGATATTTACTTCTAATGTAGAATTCTCTTCATTATTTCTTGTAATGCTGATCTGGTGGTTGTGAATCCTCTCAGTTTTTGCTTATCTGGGAAATACATTATTTCTCTTTCACTTCTTAAGGAAAGATTTTCTGGATATAATATTCTTGAAAGTTTTTCTTTTTTTTTTTTTAAGATTTATTCATTTATTTGAGAGATAGAGTTAGGGAGAAACAGAAAAATCATCCATCTGCTGGCTCACTCCCCAAATGCCATAACGGCCGGATCTGGGCTGATCCAAAGCCAGGAGCTTCTTGTGGGTCTCCCACACAGGTGCAGGGGCCCAAGGAGTTTGGCCATCTTCCAGTGCTTTCCCAGGCTATAGCAGAGAGCTGGATTGGAAGTGGAGTAGCCAAGACTTGAACCAGCGCCCATATGGGATGCCAGCGCCACAGTGCCGGCCTCCAGTTTTTT